AGAAACAAGAAAAGTCCTCAGCGATTCATTACGGGAGAGGCTGGAAGGGGCTGGTGCCCTGGGTGGCTGTACGTACTTTACAGAAAAGAGCACGGGGCTTCAGAGTCGAAGACACAGTGTGGTTTGTGTCCTCCCCTTGACTCTTACTTGTGAGATCATAGAGAGGTTTGGGTTGGAAGGGACATTAAAGATCATCTAGATCCAACTCACCTGCCATGGGTAGGGACACTTCCCACTAGACCAGGTTGCTCCAAGCCCCATCCAACCTGGCCTTTAACATTTCTTGGGATGGGGCTTCCACAACTTTCCTGGGCAACCTGGGCCAGGGTCTCACCATTCTCATGGTGAAGATTTACCTTCTAATGTCTCATCTTGATCTCCCCACTTTGGGATGGGGCTTCCACAACTTTCCTGGGCAACCTGGGCCAGGGTCTCACCATTCTCATGGTGAAGATTTACCTTCTAATGTCTCATCTTGATCTCCCCACTTAGTTTTAATCCACTCCCCCTTGTACTCTCACTCCCTGCCCTTGTCAAAAGCATCTCCTGAGCTTTCCTGGAGACCCTTCAGGCACTGGAAGGTGCTCTAAGGTCTTCCTGGAGCCTTCTTTTCTCCAGATTGAACAGCCCCTACTGTCTCAGCCTGTATCCAGAGCAGAGATCTCCAGCCCTCTTTTCTGGACTGTCTCTAGGAGCTCCACGTCCTTCTTATGTTGGGAGCTCCAGAAGTGGACACAGTGCTCCAGGTGGGGTCTCATGAGAGTCAAGTAGACGGGGAGAATCATCTCCCTTGACCTGCTGACCATGCTGCTTTTGGTGCAGCCCAGGACACAGCTGTTTCTGGGCTCCAGTGCATGTTACTGGGTCATATTGAACTTCTCCTCCACCATCACCCCCAAGTCCTTCTTCTCAGAGCTGCTCTTGATCTGTTCTCTCCCCATCCTGTATTTGTGCTTGGGATTGCCCCGACCCAGCTGCAGGACCTTGCACTTGCCCTGGTTGAACTTCATGCAGTTTGCATGAGCCCACCTCTCCAGCCTGTCACGGCCGCTCTGGATGGATCTCTTCCCTCCAGTGTGTCACCTCACCACACACTTTGGTGTCATAGACAGACTTGCTGAGGGTGCACTCAGTGCCACTGTCCATGCTGTCAATAAAGATGTTAAACAGCATGTCCAAACCCTTGGGGAGCACCACTTGTCACTGGTCTGATTCCTAACACACCTTAAAGCAAGGGAGGTGGCAAGTAGCAGCAGCCTGGGCAACACCGTGCAAGAGAATCCACCAGAAACTAAAGAATGGGTCCAAACCCAGCAGCACTAATATAGAGATTTTATTGTGACTGTACAGCACATGTTGCTTGTCACAATGCCATCAAACTGATTTCAGAGTTTTTGGCCAGCACATTGTGACGCTGACACTCACAAGAGCTAAAAGCAGTTTGCACTAAAGTCCTGAACAGGAGGCCCAGGAGTACCTATACCTATTTTCAGGCTTCCTTCTTGCTTGCAGACATTCCAACATGTGCAAACAGGAGCAAATCCAATTCCTTCTGCCACACCAGTTGTCACTCTTCCACGTCTGGCAATGACTGCAAGGTACAAGGCAGGGGAGGATCTGAAGCCAGGTGCCTTCTCCTCTCAAGCCATATTGGTTGTTCCCAGGACAGAAAAGAAGCAGAGTCCAACTAAGTACAGGGTCTTCAGATGGTGCTACCTTTGCTTGCGCTCAGAGGTTGACATACCAAAGTGCAGGAAAGGGTCATGATTCCACTCCCTCTTGTGTAGGTGACAAACCATTAGAAAAGAAAAACTGGGAGACCACAACAGTGTAAAGTACTTTGTCTGGTTAGTACACCAGGGGTTGGGTCCTCACAGGTCCTCCTCACACACATGAAGTCTCAGCTCATGAGGTGCAGAATGTATCAAACATTTTCATTGAGCTGGAAAGAAAACCTGCCTTTCTGCAAAGAAATGTCCCATGTTCAGATTCTTCTTCCTCACTAATGTGCACAGATTCCTTAGAAAGGAGGCAGGATGGATATTCCCAAAGGGATCTAGGGATTAAAAGCCCACCTGAAGCTCCTTTTCTCTCTAAATCCTTTTCCTTAGAATGCATTGGGATTCCCGCTCTGTAGTGTAAAGAAGTAGAGAGGCAATTACAAGTTGGCAACTCTGAACTTTGACCACTGTACAGGAAAAATAAAGGGAATTAAAATTCAAGAGGCATTTTAGGTAGCACTGGGGAAGTCAGAGAGCTTGTTTCCACCACTGAACAAATGCCACACATCATGTTCGTTGCTGTAGCTTGGCTGTACATCCTCAAGTGAAAAGAACAGACCAGAGTGTCTGTGTCAGCCCATGTCCTTCCCCACCCCCATTTTGGTATCAATGCTTCATTCTCCCTTCTTCGGGTTATATTAAGTGCACAGAAATATATAGCAGCATTTGAACTGAAACCCTCACATACACCAGACAGCACATTCCAGGAGGTAAAACAACACATTATGGCCTATGCCCTCAAGGTATCAAGTTTTCAGGATAAAGAGCAGTAGGAAGTGGAGAGTTGAGGGCAGGGAAGGGGAGGAGGAGCAACACAGGAACACAAGTTCTGTTTCCATGCCAGGAGAGGATCAGGGTGCCATTCCTGTGTTAGCACCAGGCCATGACACTATTGCAGACAAAGCAGATGGGCAGAGCAGAAGTGAAAAAGCCAATCTCCCCTCAGTACTGGGAGTCAAGTGTGCTCACCAATCCCAGCTGAGCATGAAAATGGGCAAAATCTGGTCAGCTCATTCTCAGCCAGAATTAATTTCTCTCCAACACTCAAGAGAAAATCAATTAGTGATGGTTAATGAGTCTTGTTCACCAAACTGATCACAAATCACACTCATGGAAAGAGAATCTACAGAATTGCTCCAGGCTGAGGCCCTTCCAGAGCACATGATACCACCTGGAGCTGCCCTCTTCCTTCTAGAGCAGCCTGCCTTTGTAGGGGGGTTGGTTCTAAACATGCCTTTCTATTGCTTTGGGGGTCCTTTGCACAGGCAGTATCTGCAAAAATGTTGCTTTCCAGCCCACAAAAGAGGTTGTAACCCCCTCTTTAGCCCTAGGTTGTCAGACTACAATGTATGGGCCTGCCAGTACCAGAGCAGGGGGAACACACCAAACTCTCCAATCTCAGCTCCTCTGCTCCAGACTGACAGTAAGACTGCTGAAGACAGTGCATTCAAGCTTGGTGTTCAAGTGTTGCACCAATGGCCTTCACAATGACACTGGAGGCAGCGTCACTGTTCAAACCCATGAGAGAAAAGGCTGGGCTTAGACAGGTCCCTTGTCTGGCATTCAGCTGGAAGCTGTGGCAATGGGCTTCTTCAGATGCTGGCTCATGAGCTCCCTGGCACGAGACACTTGGATGTGGTCATAACAGAAGTTACAAACGAGGACAGGGTCATACAGCTGCTGATCAGGGATAGGCAACTTCAGATGGCAGCAGCCAGCACAAAACACGTTCCCACAGTTCCTGTTAAGGAGAAAGAAAAACAGTGAAAAAAGAGCTGGGAACATGGCAGGAAAACTCCAGCAAGCACAAAGGATCCAGCTGGGGGCAAGTACCAGCCTTCCTTGTTTCTTAACACATCCATGCTAGTCTCCAGCGCAAGCTGACTAGTTAGCACTAAAAAGGAATTAATGGGCACTGCTACCCAGGAAAAGGACCAAGGGCCTTGGAAAAACAGAAACAAATGTAGAAGGAAATCTGCAGGGAATTTATGAGGCCTGGCAATTAAAGGAAAGACCTAAAACTTTCTCCTGGGAGCTGTAGAGAAAGAACATCACAGACAGGCTTTTGTGAGGTTTGTGAGAAACAGGCTGAGAAGAAGAGTAGAACTAGAGTGAAAATATTGTTTACCTGCAGTGATGCCTCCGTTTGGCCAGCCAGAATTCACAGTCACAGTTAAAACAGTGCGAAGCCATGTGGTCTGGAACCCACCGTGTGACCTAAGGCAGACACCAGTCATCAGCTTTTAGTTTGTGACCGGCAAGGATCAGGTCTCAGGACTCCAGCACAGGTTGAGACATGGCTTTGGACCACAACAGGCTATCCCAGAACAAGTCCACCCCCCAGCAGCAGAGATAGGTTCAAGGACAAGGGTGGCTGCTCTCTGCTTTGCTTCCAAGCCCACTTTCCAAGCCACCCAAGTCACCTGCCAGGAAAGAAACATTCTCTCCTGCTGCTGTAGCAGGTCACGTACCTCAGTTTCCTTCTTATCTACAGGCTCCCAGCTCGCTTCTGACAAGCAGTCTTCACTATGATCAGAACAGAAATCCTCAGTGTCGCTGCTGTCCGATTCCTTCAAACATGTCTGCAAAGAGGGAGCACATCACAATCCTCTCAGCTGCCTGAGTCGCTGCATCAAGGCATTCCCTGCCCTGGCCACACACTCAGTGCTTGTGAGGGGCTCGTGGGGGACTCCACAGCTCCCCCCACGAGGAGGTAAAGCACTCATGACCATGTAGGAGCCACTGATTGGCCCTCAGGAAGCAGAGGTACCTCTGGGTGGCAGGAGGGAAACAGGGCTGAGGAAATAACCTTAACCACCCACTGCAAAAGTATAAGCTGGAGACCAGGGGGTTGAAGAGGGTAGTGGGAGTGGAACGCAGGGACCACTGCTGCTGGAGACCCACAGCCAGATGTGGGGTATTAGAGGCAGCTACTTACAAAGTCATCCTCGTAGTCCATGGGGGGCTCGGCCGGCGGGGCACAGAAGTGGCGGATGTCCAGGCGCAGCTGCAGCTCCCGCACCTGCCGGCGCAGCTGCTCCACCTCCTGCTTGTAACCGGCCTCGATCTGCCGCAGCCTGAGCTGAACCACATCCGTGGGGAAGGGGAGCCCGTCATCGTCCAGGTAGAGAGGAGGCACAGGGGAAGGACATTTTGGTAGCACATGCTTGGGGGGAGCAGCTGCTTGCTTCAGCTGGCAGGGCAGCCAGGGGCAGCCGGGCTTCCCCGCGGGGCCCGCGGGGTGTGCGCCCGCCTGGCCAGGGCAGGCAGAGCCCTTTGCAGCTTCCCTGGCAGAACATTGTCCACTGAGGCACAGGCCTGGTGCCCGTAGAGATTTGCTGCTCAACCTCTTGCTACAGCAGCCGTAGGAGAGGAGGTGTCTGGCTGCAGGGTCCCCACTGGGGAGTGATGTCACCATTCCTTGAAAACTATCCCAGTTGGAGCCCAGGAAGGAGAACTCACTGCTTTGGCTCTGGGAAATGGGTTTGCACTGTTGCTCCAGTGGGGCTCTGCCCGGCCGGCCTGGCTCTTTGCAGGAAACACTCCCCACTTCACCTTTACTGGTGTCTTCATCTGAGGAGGGGATGCCTGGGGAATGGCCTGGGATGTCCTGACAAGGGGCACTTGGTGCCAGGGACTCCTGGCGGGGAATATCATGGCAGGTGGTGTTTCTCTTGGGGCAGCCTCCTCCATTGCTTACCACACCAGCAGTCTTCAAAGGTTCCTGGGGACAGGTTTCTAATTCCTTTCCAGAACTAGTGGAAACTCTGTCAACATTTTCCTGTCCGGAGGCATTTGGAGCTGGACACGTGCCACCCAGCTCCTCTGTGTATGTTCTACTTCCCTTTTCTGCCTCCATGGACACACTGCATGCTGGCACAGAAGCCCAGTTGCTCGGTTGCTTGCTGTGCTCAGCAGGTCTGGGACAAGCACTGCTGGCTTGCAGGGGAGCATCTGCCTCCTGCTCCTCCACCTGCCACGTCTCTCCTGCAACCACCACACTGCCTTCACCCAAGTGCACCTCAGTGCCCTCAGGGGTGGTGTGCCAAGCTTCCAGGCCCACCCGGACCTCCTGACAGTGGTTATTCAGGTTGGGGTCACTGGATGTGCGGGTCAGTGGGCTGCTGGAGTCACAGGCTGAGAGCAGGTCATCCATAGATCTTGTCTTTGGTAATCTAGAACCCAAAACCAAAGCAAATCTCACACTGAAATTCCTGCAACTTCCCTCATTTCAGATGAAACTGAGATAAGGGAAATGTTTCACAGAATCACAAAATCATCAAGGTTGGAAGAAACCTTCAAGATCACCAAGTCCAACTGTCTACCATACAATCTCATGACCACTAAACCATCTGAAGCACCACATCTACCTGTTTTTTTAACACCTCCAGGGATGGTGCCTCCATCACCTCCCTGGGCACCTGTTCCAAGGCCTCACCACTCTGTCTGTGAAGAAATATTTCCTAATAGCCAATCTGAACCTCCCCTGCTGCAGCTTGACCCCATTTCCTCTTATCCTATCACTCAATCACCAGGCAGAAGAGCCCAAGTCTCACCTCACCACAGCCTCCTCTCAGGTAGTTATAGCCAGCAATGTGGTCTCCCCTCACCCTCCTCTTCTCCAGGCTGAACAGCCCCAGCTCCCTCAGCCTCTCCTCATTAGATCTGTTCTCCAGACAGGAGACTTGCCTTTCTCTGCACTCTCTCTAGCACCTCAATGTCCTTCCCATCCTCTGGTGTCCAAACCCGCACCCAGTGCTCAAGGTGCACCCTCACCAAGAGACAGTAGAGGGGCAGGATCACCTCCCTGGTCCTGCTGGTCACACTATTCCTGATAAAGGCCAGAATGCTGGTGGCCTTCTTGGCCACCTGGGCACACGCTGTTCAGCTGCTGTTAATCAGCACCCCCAGGTCCCTCCTGGAGACGTGCCAGGGGTTGTTGTGGCTCAAGTGCAGGACCTGACATTTGGCCTTATTGAGACTCACATAATTACAGATCATTACACACAATAACAGATCATGGGTGGGTGGGGAAGGGCAGGGCAGCAGCAAGGGCTGAAATGCACAATGCTGCAGCATGGCCTCTACAGTCTGACTTTGGGCACAATACAGGTTCTTCTCCAAGTGGCTGGGGAATGCATAGAGCTCTTGCTCTCCAGAGGAGAGATGAGAACAGCAGATAAAACACAGGAACTGCAATGAGCAAGGAAGGAAAAAACGGCCTGTGGATAGGCAGCAACCTGGGCCTGGAACTCTGGGCTCTTACCTGTCCAAACATCTGCCACTGAACTCCTGACTCTGAGATGTATGGGGTGGGTAAATGTCCATGTCATCCTGTCCCAGAGGATGTGGTGAGGAAGCTGGGAGATACACAGCTGCCCACACGTGCAGTGCTCGCACATGGCACACTGGGTGCAGCACCTGCAACAGCCCCACAGGGTAAGAGATCAGTGCAAGAGGAGACCCTCCATAACACTCCCCCACACAGTCCCTGGTGCCCAGCAGGCAAAGAGCCTGGAAAGCTGGGCCAGGAGCTCTACCAACCTGCTCAGACCCTGGCATATAGAGAAGATTGTGGAAGTTCTTGTTGCCAGCCCGCAGGAGGGACCACACGGAGCAGGTCCGCTTGTAGATGTTGTGCATCTCTCGCTCGCAGGGGCTGTTGCCAAGGAAGGTCCCGTAGAGGCAGGAATACGTGTGCTGCACCAGCTTCACCTGCAGCATCAGAAGGGGAACAAGTGTCAGGGCCACTGGGAAACTTCATCCACATCTTCCACTCCTCTGGGCTGACTCATGCACTTCCAATCCAGCTGGTGACCCCACTGCTGTCCCCTCCCCACAGAAGGCAGGACAGAGAGGGAACAGCAACAGGAATCACTTAGATGAAAGTGAAAGCCACAATCAACTGGTACTGTACCCATCCTTCTACAACCCTCATCTGTATTGTTGCTAAGACAGAGATTAATAGCTGTTATTTCCCTTACTGATTTTTTAAATATTTCAGACTCTTATTTCTCTGAGATATGCAAATCAAGTTTTTAATCAAACCAATGCTGCTGATGGTATCTGAATTCACTGGACAAGAAAGGGACCTGGAGAAGAAGTGATTCACTGAAACCAGAGACCCTTCCTCACTGTGCAATCTGCCAGGTGCTCCCAGGGGGCAGTGCCCATTGGGAGGAGGAAGAGCCTTCGAGCAGAGAACAGAAGCATCACACACACAGAACCAGGTCCAAACACCACAACTGAAGGCAGGGCTGGACCCACATAATGCAGGTACATCAGGAAACCCAGAGGCACTATCCAGACACCTTCTTGTTTGTAAATAATTCTTGGTTTCTTTCAACTACAACACTGTAAAATACCATTTGCACAATATTTTCATACAATGAATATATAATATCAGAGGACTTCCCTGGCAAGGGATTAAGAAATGTTTGCATGCATGTTTCTTACCAAAAAAGCTTCGTTAAATTCAAAGAGGCAAGGAAATTGCTTCAGAAGCTGATGAACAGCATCCAGCCACTGCAGAAAAACTGGGCACTGCTCGTTCTGATCTTCAGCCTTCTCCTGGTGACCACAGCGATCACCAAACTTGTGACCAAAATCCAGCCAATCTGATTCAACAAGCACCTGGAAGCCCTGTGAATAAAAGGAAAAAAACAACCCAGCTGTAGACCCTTTGGTGCAGGCATGCAGCAGGAGAGGCCAACCCCATCCTCCAGCAGAGCCAGGTAAGCTCAGAACTTCTGCAGGGCTGTAAAGGAGCCTGCACCAGTGCTTGGTTTGGAAGCAAAGCTGCTGAGATGTCAGAGGCTTCCAAACACAAACTAACAGCTGTTCTTTCTACACAACAAACAGCTTGGACAACATGCACAATAGAAAGAAGGGAAGAAGCTGAACCTTGAAGGCAAGACCTTATTTTCCACAGCACTGCAGCAAGCTGGGCAGAGAAGTGAGGCACAGTTCACCAAAACCAGGCAGGAAGAGAACATGAAAAAACCCAATGCCTGCAACAGCAGCTCTGAAACATCACTAAGCTTATTGCCAAATTCAATCCTGCTCCTTTCTCTGGAAACTGACATGAACTAGCAGCACAGCACAACTCATACCTCCATGGTCCTGTAGTAAGGGTCCAGAAGAATCTTTGCCAGGGCTACAATCTGTGGAGTCCTGTCCCAGCCATCTGAGCAATGAACCAGCACGGGACGCCCGTCTCTGTCAACTGCACTGGAGACCAGCACTGCTGCCTTCAGCATGACAGAAAGGTGCTGCAGCCACTTGGTACTCTCCAGGGCTGAAAGCCAACTAGGAGGTGTGCAAAAAAAAAGAGAATGATTGCTTAGATCTCCAGTAGAAAATAAAATAAAATAATATCTTTTAAGCTGAATCTTTTGGAGTCATGAAGGAAAATTAGTCTTTCCTAAAACATGCTCAAGAGGAGCCAGCCAGCCTAGGAAAAATACAAAGAATCCAAATTCTATTTTTTTCCGAGAAACAACTATATTTTAAAGACACTCAGAGGACACACACAACAAAGTGCCACTGAGGCTGTGCCACAATCCCCTTTGGATTCCTAGGGATGAAGATAAGCAGCACTCAAGCACTGTGAGCACTTTCCTATCCCTCCTCCCTTTTCTGAGGTAGAAACTGGGGATAAGGAAAAGGAAAAGGGAGGGGAAACCCCCCTAGGACACTGAGAGACACGGTGCCACACTCAGACAGAGAACAGCCACTCACTTGCTGGGGTCTGGCACCTGGCTGCAGACAGCACGCAGATACTGGAAGCTGTTCCGGATAGAGTGGATGTTGGCCATGCCCATGAAGACAACTTCACAGTTTGGGTAATACTCTGAACACAAAAGAGACAGAAACATTCAGAGAGAGCTGGTGCCACAGCAGCAACTGCGTCCACAGGATTCGTTCAGCTCTCCCCTCAGCACCATTTCTGGTCTCCAGGCAGGCAGTTTTTCTACAAGAGCCTTGCAGGCCAGTAAGGATATCCCTGGAATAAGACTTTGCACGTGGGAGAAGGAGAACATGCTACTAGAGACTGAGCACCAAAATGCTGATCTGACCTCCAACTGTGCTCTAGGACCCACTCCACAGAGCAGGGCCAAGAGGAAGATGTTCTGGGATGTGCTTCACCCTCTGTACCTTCACATTCGCAGCCGCCTCCCTTGGCTCTGTTGGCCACCGCCGCAGTGTAGGACCGAGCGTCAAGAATCAGCAGCTTCTGAGGAGTTCCTGCGTTCTCCACACCTGAACATGCAGTCAGGGACGAGTCTGCAGAGACAGCACGGACTGAGCTCCCAGCACCTCCCTCCCCTACAACAGACCCCCAGTGCCATGCAGCGCTGGCTGTGCACAAGTCCAGGGACCCGTCCCATGCACCACAGCCAAGGTGTGATGGGGCCTGGGTGATCCACCTGGGTATTGCAGTGAAACTGGGCACTGCAACAACCCTGTTGGCATCACCAGCACCATCCAGGTGTAGGAAGCCCCGGGTAATACACACATTCCATAGGGGGTGGCAGGGAACGAGCTGTCTCACCAAAGTCGGCATCGCAGGCCTCGCTGCTGTCGCTGCTCCCAGCGTGGGGCGCCCCAGCAGGTGCCCTCCCCCCGGGGTTCAGAGCGCAGGCTTTGGCAATAGATGTCACAAGATACTCATCGTCCGCGTTTCGCCAGCCCCACCAGCTGATCTCTGGCTGGCTGCAGCGCGCAATCACCGCCCCGTTGCGCACGTGTCTGCAAAGGAAGCAAGAGCCTCATGAAGCCCCCAGAGAGATGAAGAGCAACCCCCACAAACTTCACCTGCAGTTGGCACTTCTGCAACCCTCCTCACTGCTCTGTTTAGGCTAGGTTAGATGTTAGGAAGAAATTCCTTGTTGTGACAGTGGTGAGACCCTGGCCCAGGTTGTCCAGGGAAGCTGTGGCTGCCCCATCCCTGGCAGTGTTGAAGGGCAGGTTGGATGGGGCTTGGAGCAGCCTGGGCTGGTGGGAGGTGTCCCTGCCCATGCAGGGGGTTGGAACTAGATGATCTTCTAGGTCCCTTCCAACCCAAACCATTCTGTGATTCTATGATCTGCATTTCCTGCATTTCCTCTTGCATTCAAGCAGTGGCACAGCTGAGCTGTTTTTTCTTAACAACCCCTAAAATGTGAACCCTACCCTGGCTGCTGCTTATTGACACCTGGAAGAAGGCCTGAAGTAGGGAGAAGTGTTTTGTTTTTCACATGAGCTCACTGGTCAAGTCTTTCACAAATGGCCTGGAAAGGGAATGGATGATTAGGTAACCAAGTCGCTGGTGATAAAGAGTTATCCAGAAAGTCTGTGGCTGCCTGTAAAAAGTTGCAAAGGATTTTGTAATACTGGGTGACAAAAGCAAGAGTATGAAATTTAGTATGAACAAATGAAAAATAGTCACAGATTATCAAAATGTAACCCAAGCTATTGACAAGGAGCAGTTGGGTGCAAATCAGCTGCCAAATCTCAGACTTTGAAGTCACTTTGGAGCTCTGAAAAAGCCTCAGCTCAATGTTCAAATTAAGCAAGAAGGTTAAGACTGTGCTAGAAAAGAATAAAGCAGAAACCATGATGGCCCCACATCTTAGGCATCTTCAGAATGACAGAAATTACAGGGACAACTTAAGTAAACAAGGAAACAACTCCTCACCATGGCAGAAGAACAAGAATGGATGAGAGCCACAAAAGGTCATTAATAATATTAAAAAGTGAGTTTGGAAGATTAGTCTTTATTTTTTCCCAATGGAATCCCAGATGAGCTCTGGAATGGTCACATTTAAAAAAATAAATATTTTTGTGGAGAGCAGACAGAATAGACAGCAACACTCTGCCACAAAGCAGAGTCACAAATTGCCACAAATTGGTTCCAAAATACAAAATGACCATGAAACACAATCACACAATTTCTCCTGAATATCTGTTGCAAGAAATCCAAGATACCAGCTGCTCCAAAGATGCACCAGGGCAGAACACCTGCATACCTGTTCCATTAGCTAGGAACTCAAGATGCTATTCCTGGTGCCCAGCCCTTCTCAGACATGATAATAAAATGGGCAGCCCCACACCTCAGTTCTTCACAACACTGCTTGTCCCAGCCCATCCCACCACCACTCCCACAGCACCTCTTTAAAGGTGAGATGGAGAACAAAGATGTAGATAAAGCTCCTAACACACACATCCAAGCACTTTTTTTTTTTACTTTTTTTTTTTTTTTTTTTTTTTGTAGCTCAGCACCTCTGAAAAAGTTGCACTGGTGGCCACCTAGGAGCCATAATGGTCTAAATCCTGCAGCACACTAGCACAAGCCTCAGCTCATCACTCAGGGATGGTTTATCTGTCCGTGACGGCTGTCAGAGACACTCTTGAAGGTATCTGTTTCTCACCCTGCCACCCTATGAGGGGCTCTGCTGTTCCACAGAGGATCATAGAATCATAGAATGGTTAGAGTTGGAAAGGACCTTGAAGACCATCCAGTCCAACCCCCTGCATGGGCAGGGACACCTCCCACCAGCCCAGGTTGCTCCAAGTCCCATGCAACCTGCTCTTGAACACTGCCAGGGATGGGGCAGCCACAGCTTCTCTGGGCAGCCTGGGCCAGGCTCTCACCACCGTCACACTAAAGAATTTCCTCCTGATCTCTAACCTAAATATCTTTCTTTCAGTTTAAAACCATTGCCCCTTGTCCTCTCACTACAAGCCCTTGTAAAAAGTCCCTCCTCAGCTTTCCTGGAGCCCCTTCAGACACTGGAAGCTGCTCTCAGGTCTCCCTGGAGCCTCCTCCAGGCTGAACTCCCCAACTCTCCCAGCCTGGCTCCAGAGCAGAGCTGCTCCACAGGGCAGAGTGGCAGGATCACCTCTCTCCATCAGCTGCCACACTTCTTTTGATGCAGCCCAGGATGTGCTTGGCCTTCTGGGCTGCAACTGCACATTGGTGGCTCCTGTCCAGCTTTTGGTCCACAAGTACCCCCAGGTCTGTTTCCACAGGGCTGCTCTCAAGTGTGTCCTTCCCCAGCCTGTATTCATATCTTAGGTTACCTCAGCCCAGGTGCAGGACCCTGCACTTGGCCTTGCTGAACCTCATGAAGTTCACCTGGGCACACTTCTCCAGCATGTCCAGGTCCCTCTGGATGGCATCCCATCCCTCTGGCATATCGACTGCACCACCCAGCTTAGTGTCATCAAGGATGACAGTTCCTGTTGATATTATTTGCTGTCAGGCAGCACAGCAAGAAAATGCATTGAGGCTTTGATGAGCTCCCTCCAACAGTGGTGATGTACAGCCTCTCACCAGCAGCTGACACAGCCTGCAGGAATAGCTTTGCTTCTCAAAGACAAAGTCCCCTTATTCTCCTGAGGCAATTTATCAATAAGAGGAGAAAAATGTCTGATGGTTAATGACATCTCACAGCTAATACTGATGAAGACTTAAACTGAAGCCTTCCACATGTTCAGCTAAGTCAAAACACTGTGGAGTCCCTTTCAGTGCCCTCCTCTGCTGCTGTTTTGTTTTGCAAGGTGACTTACAGTGCAGTCACTCCCAGGAGATACATTCCTGTCTTCAGGATCACTGAAGGGTGCTTAATGCAGATGGAAGTAAAGGCTTTGTTTGTACTACTAAAAGAAACAGAGTCAAGGTCTGGACTTAAGCACTAGTCTGTGATCATCCCATCCTTTTTGAGAACACACCCACAGATTTTGGCTTCTGCCAACCAGCCCTTTCCCAGACAGAACCCAAGCACATTTTTGGGAAGTGCAGGTGCTGTGCCAGGGACTGCTTCCAACAGGCTCTCTGGAGAAGGCTCTGAAGAGATCTTAGAGCACCTTCCAGTACCTGAAGGGGCTCCAGGAAAGCTAGGGAGGGACTTCTGACACGGGTATGTAGTCAGGGGACAAGGGGGAATGGCTTGAAACTGAAAGAAGGATATTTAGGTTAGAGATCAGGAGGAAATTCTTTAGTGTGAGGGTGGTGAGACCCTGGCCCAGGTTGCCCAGAGAAGCTGTGGCTGCCCCATTCCTGGAAATGTTTTATGATAGGTTGTATGGGGCTTGGAGCAACCTGCTCTAGTGGGAGGTGTCCCTGCCTATGCAGGGGGTTGGGACTAAATGAGCTTTAAAGTCCCTTCTAACCAAAACTGTTCTGTGATTCTGTGCAAAGGCACTGGTTTGGTGTGCAGAGGACAGAAAAACAGTTTAGCTGTGTAAGCCACTTGAAGTAGGAGGTAGCCAGCTTAACATAACACTACAAATGTTGCCAAAGAGCCATATTAAATTCAGAAAACTTCATGGTAGCACCAACTTCTCAGCACTGCAACAAATCCTGGGCAGGGGACAGTTTTGAGGTAGCCAGTTGCAAGAGACATATGACATGCCAATAAATACAAGGAAATATGGCCAGCTCTCATGAGCATGAAGTCAGCAGGTGCCAGTGGGCAAACAAAAAACACAAGTGAGCTCGCATGGAGCTTCCCAGGTCAGGGGAGCACTCAGAGCTTGACTCTGTGCTCTCTTGCTAACCACCTCAGCATGAACATTTCAGTTATTTTGTTACTGGGGATTTTTGTGGACATTTCCTCAAAGAAAAAAGCTCTTTTCTTCAAACAAGAATGGCAAAAGGTGCCACAGGGTTTTAACTTACATGGATGAAATTATTCTTTAGGGATCCCTGGTTTAGTTTTCATGTCTCAAGACCCTTTCAGAATCAAAAGCTGGAGTAGAAGGTGCCTTAGTAGTTTATCAGCTGAACTTTTACTCCCAGATTCATCCAGAGCACAAGACTAGAGCACACCTGATATTTTCATTACATGCCATTTAAACCCAAAGCCATCACTCAGAAAGCATCAACTTGTATCTCTCAAGTCCCTTTACTGTTATTTTATCCACTATGCAAAATCAGCAGCTTAGCTGAAAACACAAGGGCTGGGAGCTGGTTTCCAGAGCTGTCACCTAAAGGTTCCCAACTGAGATGCACATATGTGAGTGCTTTCATTTCCTGAATCTCTGGCTTAAGCTTCTGGCTTCCTCTGGTATGGCCTGAAAGCCTGAGACCAACTGCTCAGCCCTGGGGCTGGAACAATATCCACAGCTTCCCTGAGAGCCACTGTGGCAGGGACATGGGCAAAGGTATTGCTGAGTGTCTGTGAGGAGCTCTCTTGCTATCATAGTCCCTAAGGCCTCCTGAGGGTGGCTGGGCAGACAGAGTAATAAGGAGAGGGCTAGCATACACTGCCTGTCTGCTGCTGTAGTCAGCTAAATAATTAATTGCATCCCTTGTGTTGTTTTAAAAGTGAATTGTGCCTGGAGGCTCCTGCATCTCTGCTGTGCATCTCCACTGAGGACTCAAGTGGGGACCTGAATTTCTGCTTTGCTGTTAAGCTACATTATCTTTTTTTAAGGAAAACAGATCTTACTCTAACCCAATGCATTCAGCCCTGTTCCCCAAAAGCTCAGAAGTCTACCAAACACTGTGGTTACCATGTCCCTGGGATGCAGGCACCTGAGCCTACTTGTCCACTCTCTCCTGAACTATGAGAGAGGAAGAAGAGCTGAGTGTGAGGCTTTTAATTTCCACATTTCTCCTTCCCCACAGCATAAGGCACTCCAGCCTTGGTCCTCACAGACCCTCCTGGCCAAAAGACTTCAATCTTGACAGCAAAGGAATGAAAATGAGAGATACATATGGGCGAGCACTTGTCCCATCCTGTAACATCATCCATCAACATGTTCTAACCTGATCCCAGGCTGCAAAGAGTTGGAGCTTTGCTTGTAAATTCCTGCACACCAGCGCAGCGACATTATAAAGCCAGGAGCAAAAGAATTGTTAGAGTAGCAAAAAGACACAGCTTTGCAATCAGCTGGGGAGGCACATTGGCACAGCCTCCAGCCCCAGGACATTTTTAGCAAAAGTAATCACAAATACAATTAACTTCTTGGCTGATTTGGCTGTGAAAAGGGAAAGGCTCCATACAACAAGCAGCACTTGTTACTACTCTGCTGTAGAATTTACTTCTTCTAGAAGAAATCACTGTGTTTTGCCACCAACTACCAGCAAGCCATGCAAAATGAAGATGCAGTGACATGTAAATTCACTGGATTGGTTTCCTGCTTGTTGTATTTCCCAGGGCTGTCCTTTGCTGTGCAGCTCTGATATTCTAAAAGCTTCATATACTCAGATTTAGTAACTGCTAACACAGAGTCTAAGGCTAGAAACCATAACATGTGTTACACTGTGTGCACTGACTAGGTGCACCTATTCAACCAGTCTCTGTTTCAATCATGCCAGTTTCCTAGAAGATATTTTTTATTAGAAACCACCCCCCTTCCCTGAAAAGCCCTGCTTTATTTGCTGCCTTGCCTGTTGCATCTCCCTGCATGGATTATTTCTGGGAGGCTAACAAGGCAACAGCTTCTCTCTATATTTGCCAGCTATTCCATCAACAAAGTTAAGCCACATGCAAACATTTCAATATGTTACCTAAATAATGTCTAATTCTCAGAACTCAAAACAGAAGTGATTTGCACTTGGGTATTACAAGGTTCATCACACCTAGCTGAGAGCAGGGCCAGAAAGCAGGCTCATTTTAACCAAGACTTCATTTCAAAGTAGCAGCTGAGCAAGTACCAATTGTGAAAAAGTTGTCAGCTTAAAGAAAATGAAATATTAACTTGACACAGTGTTCTGACTGTATCTTCCATAGGAGGAAACTCACCCCCATCTTCAGACCTAACTGAAAGCAGGAAAGAAGCAACAGTCACCAGAAAGTTTCTCCTCCCTTCTGGAGCACCCCCTGCCTTACCGTTGCAGACTGTGTGCCCAGAGAGGCTAATGGGCTGCTGTGGGCTGCTGGGAGGAGGAGGAGTCCTGAAAGCAGCACAGTTCTCAGGGGGTGGGCTAAAATCGGGCATCATGAGGACCAGACAGCAGCTGTTGCTGTTCCCCCTGACTCCACAGCCTGTCCCCTGCTACCCTGGCTTCACAGCCCCCTGCTCACACTGGCGAGAAGGGCAGCTGCTGTGGGTTCAGGGAGGGCACAGTTTTGGTTCTGGGTTCACCTGTACACCACCACAGGGATCCTTTTCCATGATCTAAATGAAGCCACGTTCTCTAGCTCCTTATCGGTGATCCAGACGGGGACCAGCAGCTTCTGGGGATAACTGGAACAAAGCCTGGAAAAAAGAAAGTATGAAGGCAAGATGAGGACTTGGACATCAGAAATCTGCATCAGAGGAGCTGTGCAAAGAGAAGGCAGGAGCAGCTCATGTTTCCCAAGCTCAGTGTGCAGGACTTAGGTTCTTCCTCTTCATACCTGTCCCAGTACAATCGAAACATGGGAAAAGTGACTAAAAAAATGCTGTCAGGAATGAGCTGAAAGGCAGCCTCCTTTCAGCTCAGGTCTCACCTCCAGGCCCACACTGAGTACCCCAGGACTTCCCAAGAGTACCTTTGGAACATTCTCTGGATTCAAGAATTCATGAGGCTTTAGGTGAACAGGCCTTAATTTATGAGGGGTTGTGGTTTTCTTGGAGCACTTGCAAGCCCAGAAACACAAACAGCCCCTGGGAGATGATCATCTGCTACTTTCTGACCAGAAAATGAGTCACCACTGATAAGCTTTACTATGCAAGGAAGACATAGCTCTTGAAGCTCTGTGGAAAGGGTCCTGGGGTCCTGGTGGACAAGCTCAGTATGAGTGAAGTGTGCTGCAGCAGCAAAGAAGGCCAACATGATGCTGGACTGCATCAACTGGGGCTTCACAAGCAGAGATCAAGAAGTCATCATCCCACTTTACTCAGCACTTCTCAAGCCACCCCTGGAATACTGTGTTCATGTCTGGTTCCTGCTGTACAAAAAAAGATACAGGCAGACTAGAGAGGGTCCAGAGAAGGGCCACAGAGATGATCCAAGGACTGGGAGGACAAGCTGAGAAAATTGGGTTTGTTCAGCCTGGAGGAAAGAAGGTTCAGGGGAGACCTTATTGTTCCAGCACTAACAGGGTGGCTCCCAAGAAGACGAAGACTCCCTATTTACAAGGAGTCCCATAAAAAGATGAGGGGTTATGGGTGCAAGTTACTCCAATCTCAACTGGACACCAGAATAACATTTTTCAGTATGAGAACAGTCAGACATTGGAATAATCTCCCCAGGGAAGTGGTGGATTCTCCAGCACTGAACACTTTTGAAAATTGGCTTGACAAGAAGCTGGGCCATCTCATCTAAACCACGCTCCTACCTACAGAGGTTGGACCAGATGATCCTTGAGGTCCCTTCCAACCTGGCATTCTATGAAGTCTGCCCAGGAAGGTAGCAGCGGTGATTCTGTGATCCCTCCCAGTCTGGTCCCCTGCGGAAGAAACTCACAGCTAATAGCAGGAGCACCTAACCCTTCAACAAGCAGAGCTGCAGTACCACAGGAGTCCCACATGCAAGGGAAACAAAGTGTAAAGCAGTTTAGATGAAATGGAAATTCAGCAGGTGGGAAGTGAGATGGGAAGAATCAAAAAAGGAGTAGATGGGAGATGGTTTAGTGGTATTGGATTGTAGGGCAGATGGTTGGACTTGATGATCTTGAAGGTCTTTTCCAACTCTGATGATTCTGTGATTCTGTAATCAGCAAGATTGTGAATGCTTAAGTCTCAAGAAAAATATTAAAAACCCACCTGCAAGTACTTCAACAGAAGGGCAGGAGGG